TCAGAGATTTTTCATTCTTAATTATTCAATAAATAAAATTATTAAAATGCCATAAGTGAAAAATGAATCTCTTCAAGAGCGAATAACACAAAAACCGTTGAAGCTAGACAGTTTGATAAAGAGTACATTTTTCATGTGAAATTGAACGAGCTTTCAGATTTTCCACTTATTTTGATCATCAATGAATTGACATAGAAGATATGATGTAAATTATCGAAGTAACAGAGTGCCACTAGCGCCCTCTATGAGCAATCACAAAATAAGTTGCAATTCATATTCCTCATGTCAGAAAACCTAGAAATACAAGATTTCATGTTCATGCTGTTGAAACTAAGTTATTGTGAAATTTTTTAAATAAAATCTCTCCCTGAAACACCCTGTATCTCCTAAACCAGCAACATTCTCATCAGGCATATTGGGCTAAATCTCATTATTTTTGTGTTTACTATCTGTAGTTCAGAGATTTCCCAGAATCACCCTGTATATCCGGGTAAAAAATACTCCCGTGGGAAAAAAGTAATTTATGAAAAGTGACATTTCATAACCTGTCAACAGAGACGAAATTTGAAACTTCTTTCTCTGTCACACTCATAGAGCATATGGAAATTTCATAAGCGAATATTTTCGTAATCGTTTGAAATAACCCCATCAAACCCGGTATCGTTCATTTAGTTATAATAATTCCTAATCGATTATGGACTAGAATACAAGGTGTTCCATTTAATAGGTTAAAGTGTAAGAATAGTTTTATACTAAACTTTCTATCTGGAATCCCCAGTACATTATTTACATAAAACAAGTAGAGAATATTCAAAACAAATTCATACACTATATCGAGAATAAATACTTCCGTAACACGCCTCGTCGATAAAGCAGAAAGTTGAATTTACTTAGTCTCGAAAATAGAAGGGATATTGCCGACATACAATTTTCGTTTAAGTTGGTAAATAATATGATAGACTCAATCCCAATTAATAATTCCATTCGATATAACGTACCGCAATACCCCACTCGAAGTCATCAATTATTTCACACAAAAGCGGCCAACACAAATTACTATTTGAACTCCCCCCATCATCGTTGCTTCAAAAGCTATAATTCAATATCAAATCTGATTGATATTGATATATTTTGTAATTCATTTACCACCTTTGTAAATAAACTCAAGTCATACTTTTTCTCGAACCTCTGAATCCTCGTTAGCACCTTGCAGATTTATTGTATTTCTTTTAAATTTCTTTTAAATTTCTTTTAAATTTTGTATACCATCCTAAGTTTAAATTAGGTTCCCCAATAAATTTCCAAGATGAGTATTATAATAATCATAATGTTATATGACTACCTGTGAATACTGTTTTTAGGCTCGTCCTGTTTGTATTCCTGAATATATAAAATAAATAAATAAATAAATAAAATAAAATAAATAAATAGTAATTTATTATTTGAAAACCGATAGTTGATGTCATTTCCAGTAAAACTCAAAGATGGAAAAAATCCTGAAATGTGAGAAAGTGCCCTCTAGTAAGTGTATATGTCTCAAATTTCAAAAATATAACTGGGAAAACAGGAGAAACGGGGGGTATATCCTGAGTTTGTGTCACCCGGTATTGATAAGAAAGCGAATTTCAAAATTTTCCATCGTTATATGGAGATATGTCTAAGCAAAATACCAACCACGTGATGTATACCTCCATATTCATTCATATACAAAAACACTTACCATCTTGAAAAAATACAACTTAACACACTCAAATGAAAATGCAATCACTAAACCGAATACGAATTCAAATTTTCCACTCTTCAATAATTCGAGTTCTTTTTTTATATCATTCGAATCGACCGTACACCATGAAATCTATAACGAGATTGCTGATTGGTTTTATTCATCATTCTAAATGACTAATCGGCTACGTCATCCTTTCAACCTATTGAATCCCGAACAAGTATATGACTAGTCTCGATATCGATAGGTGGTATACGGGGTGGGGTGAAAAGGCATTTAATATACAGTGTCACCGTTGTAGTCCGCATTAATATGGGACTTTTTTATTGATTAGTTTGTGCAAATCAGGATTACATGGACATGGTAATACTTTTGAAATGTAGTTCTTGTCGAATCAGACATTTTCTGTCAGAAAATACAAAATCAATTATTACATCTTTCGAATATAAACGATCTCAAAGTGAAACATAATTCCATTATTATCTGAAAGGACATAGGGAAAATCCGAAAATTGAAAAAAAAAGTATACCATTCAAAAAACTACCGATAAGCCATCACGCGAATTTAGTTTATATCAGATTATTATTTCAAAGACAGTAAATTCAAATTAAAAATTGACCTATCTCAACGTAATACAATTAATATTTTATCAGTTCTGTTTTCATCTTGGAAATAATGCGGTGAAATGAATTTAGTATACAGTCACCAACAATCAAGGTTTATTGATGAACCGTTTTCGCATACTTTCGTTCTCATGAATAATTTATGAAAGTGATATAAACAATGTTTTCGATTTAAAAAAAAATCAACATCACAGGGTGGACAATGAAAACATGCAAAGTAAATTGAAAGGTCTCCCGTTAGTAGACATCTGCTTTTCGACAATAATTATAAATTATTCAAAACCATATTCATGTACTGAGGATCGTGTGTACACAATTTTGAATTTCTGAAACAATTTTGGTTCAGAATGTGACATTTTCAGTAGTTTTTCCTCCTACTCAATTTTGTTAGTGCCTTTTAATATTGCATCTAGGGAGCCATGATCGGATGTAAATTGATCTAAGGACCTCAGATGATAAAAGCAAATTATAATCACAAAGTTTCAGTGACTAGTATTATAGATAGGAATAAGACAAGTTGACAAAATTACATTTCCATATCTAACAATAATTTTTCAAATGGCAACCATTTTTTGACAAGTACTTTCCGGAGAAAGGACTTTGACTAATCTAACGATACTAATTTACTTGCCAATGCATCGAAAATAAGAACATGAATTCTATCTGTGTTCGAACTAAGTATGTCAGCCGTCCAGTTAAGGTTAATCACCTGGTATACAGGGTTGGGCAAAAGTATGGAACCAGGTGAATATCTCGGTAACCATTTGTTAGACTTTTCTGAATATATGTACAGGGTGATTTCAAAACTTGGTGGATTCGATAATGTTACCGTCGGTGTTGCCACTTTTTCAATTATTCCGGAATTACTATTAACTTCCTCATTTTAAAAAGAACACCCTGTATTTTATTGAATTTACAAATTCTTCCTGGAAAGCTGATTTTATGGATTCATCACACTTGGGGTCTAGCAAGAATGATTACTGAGATATAGGGTGTTCAAAATCGAGATTTCTCAAATTTAAGATTTTTTTGTGTCGAAACTATTCTTTATTGGTCAAAACGGCTCACATGTCCATGTCTCAACTTTTGATTCACTTTCTACCGACATTTAATTGAAACAAATACAGGGTAGTTCAAGATTCAGAAATCTAATCACCCTGTATCTGTTCCCATTAAATACCAATTGATAGTAGAGGGACATGGGAACCGTTTCGACCGATAATTTATTAATACTTTCGACACAAAAAAATCCTAAAGTTGAAAAATCTCGATTTTGAACACCCTATATCTCTGTAATCATTCCTGCAAGACCACAAGTACACAAAATACAGGGTGTTCCATTTGAAATAACAAAGTTGCTAGTTGTTTCTGATATAAATGGCAACACTGTATCGATGAAAATATATCAGACGGATAGAAAATGTTCAATTATCGAAGCTAGGATTGGGTTATTTCCTAAGCTTAAACGTGAATATCTTCGTAATCGTTTGAAATAACCCAATCGAACAGGGTTTTACTTATGAAAATTCAAAGTTGATGTCATTTCCAGGAAAACTGAAAGATAAAAAAAATCCTGGAATATGAGAGAGTGTCCTCTAGTGAGCATATTCTATGTTCCAAATTTCAGAAATCTAGCTAAAAAAGAAGGGTATACCATGGGTCTGTGTCAACTGGAATAGCTCTAATGATGTTGAGACCTATCATAAAAATTATAGAGCATAAAATTTGCGACTAACTCAGTTTCATTAATTTTTCCTAACCGAAAAACTCCATTGGTAGAACGATCTACAGAATTGAAAACAAACAAAGTACACCACAAAAACATAAAACGTGATGGTGATGAGTTTCAAGCGAGATTTCAAGTGAAGATTGTGTTTAAAACAAAAAAAAAAAGTGAGATCAGTTCTTACTCTAACGAAATCATAAAATTAAGAGCCATTATCTAATCCTTAATTTCAATTCTTGATTGAATATATAAAAACATATTTCGGCAGTGACATATTTATTATTATTTTTCTGACAACACCTTTTTTCTCTCCAAACCTCTTGATACAAAATCATTATCAATACAAGGTGAACCATAATAAAATTATTATCAACAAAATATAACCGACCACTACAGCCATCACCAAAAAATTGTATATAGTTATTCCTTGTGCTAGTAGAAAATATTATACAGGGCGTCCCTGAAAGGTTTGTACAAAATCTGATTACATATTCCTGAGGTCAAATTAGCCGATTTGAGGCATTTTTGCTCAGTCCGAAATTGCTCCAATAACGTATCTTGAAATATCCATTTATGCACTGATATATCACTGACCAAATTACATCTGGGGGTTTTCGTGAAAAAATAAAAAAACACTAGAGGTAGAAAATTAAATAATAAAAGGGTGACGATAAATACACAAAATTGAACGTACTGATTACGGAGGTGCTCATATTTTCTATGCTGTGTATTTATCAACACACTTTTATTATTTTATTTTCTACCTCTATCAACACACTTTTGTTTCATTTTCTACCTCTTTTTAGTTTGGCTATCTATAAAATTGTGTTCCTTTAGTTTTCTAAACTACTATTTATCCTCCTTAAATGACTGGAGTAGTATGTCGAATCCGAAATGATTGGGAGTGTCAGACCATCTTGAATTTCAGGGACATAGTAAAACTGACTGCCCAATTCGTAGCCAGAAATGGCCGAGCTTTCTTGACCCAACTGATGAACAGAGAGCAGAGGAACTTCCAGTTCGACTTCCTGAGGCCTCAGCATTCTCTGTTCCAGTATTTCACCAAACTGCTGGAACAATATACCAAGGTAAGTCATTTATTTGTACGGAGGCGTTAAAAGTCCCACAGGTTTTTTATTTTTTCAGTCCGTAGAAATTCCGATTTTTTTCCTGGAAATTTCGACTTCTATCTAGACATTTTTACTTTCATGTCAAAATTTCGACTTTCGAATTTCAAGATTCTCATTCTAATAACAAAATGTACTGAGACGAGTTCAAACTTTACATATAAAACACATATTTGTACAGTGTTAAAAAATGAGTGAAACAAATTGGATGAAATTTGACAAAAGTGCATTTCCCTTGTTTCAGTAATCAAAGCAACCCAAAAGAAATTGCGAAAGGGTTCAAACCACCCTCACTCTCTGACATTTTTTCAGAACATTCTTAGGGGTGGTAATACTGTTCTCAAATTTTCAGATCCTTATGAAAATTTCGTATTCCGCATAGTTCTGAAGGAAAATATGTTTTCTTGAATATTGCAAACAGATATACCTCGTGTAAGTTGAATATCTTTATGATGAAAAATGTAGTTATTAGTTAGTTAATTTAGACAGTGAAAACAAATGCAGATTTTTTTTGTTCAAATAATGTTCTATATGACGCCTACCTGCATCAATATAAATGTCGATTCGTTTGTTTCCACTGTGGAATAATTATTCAAGAAATAGTTATTTGTTTAACTAGGCAGCAGTAGTAGCTGGATTCCTAGCCTCGCAGTCAATCTACTTTGCTGCCGAGTTGAACATATAATTTTGTCTCCGATTGTTCATAATGATATTGGAGGATATTGTATTTACAAATTATTACAATCCCCACAATGTCTTTATTTTTCCTGTAGTGTTCAATTAAAATGAAATTTGATAGAAATTGCAGTTGTCGGAATGGTTGGTTGCTATGGAAATGTCCATAATAATTATAGTTTGACAATTCATGAAATTTCTGACAGTTGTGCGAAAAAGTATCGGTATATTCAAATTATTATATAATGGACAGTGATAGCGACCTGGAAGTATTTACACCTCCAGAAATAAGGGAGGTGGCAAAAAATATAGAGTTGAATTTGTTGCCGGAGAAGTCTCGGATGAAATATGAAGGAAATTATAAACGATTTATGGATTATTAATTTTGCTGATACATATCAATCAGCAAAGTAACCACTTTGCTGCCTATGCAGCAAAGTACCGATTGATATGTGTCAGCAAAATTAATATTTGCTGCCAATCGGAGAAAAACATTTTTTTCCTTCGGAACTATGCGGGATATAAAATTTTCGCAAGAGTAACAAAATGAAGATGATTAATTAGTCATCTCGCTTTAAAAAATTGAGAACACTATTACCACCCCTAAGAAATTCTGAAAAAAAATTCAGGGGGAAAGGATGGTTTCAACCCTTCTACAATTTCTCTTAGGTTTATTTGATTACTGAAAGAAGGGTTGTCTTCTGAAATGCACTTTTGTCAAATTTCATCCAATTTGTTTTAATCGTTTTTGAACAGCGCACAAAATAATGTTTTTTATGTAAACTTTGAACTCGTCTCAGGGACAAACGGTATTTTTTGTAAATAAGTTGGGTCAAATCAACTTATTTTGAACTGTATTACACGTGGTAGCTCTGTGTCCCAGCAATTTTGGGGCACCCTGTAGATACAGGGTGATTTGCTCAGGCCAAACATTAGAAGTTTTTCAACTTGCATCTGGAATGAAAATCTTGAAATTGGTATGCTGTTATAATCGATCATTTCCAATCTACCTGAAATATTTCTAGTCCTTCAACTATACAGGGTGTGCCAACAGTCGGCACCAACTTTCTTATTTCAAATGGCAACCTAGTTAATGTCAACTTTGAGATGTTTATAATTCCTCTGGTGTGCCCACTCTTCAATTGTTTCGTCAGACTAGCTCTCGATATGAACAATTGAATGCGAGTTCGGAACGTTGGGTTCTTATCATCGATGATAGATGGCGTGAACGATTTCTTGAACATAATAGGGTTTCCTTTTCGTGCGCTCCAAGCGATAAAAAAAAACTAGACTTTCAAGGATGTGTTTTCCTTCTTTCGGGACCTGAAAAATCCCGTTGATGATACACGAATTCAACCAGTGACGGCTCGTGCCTTCAGAACCTGGGTCGGCCAGGGTATAGATATTGCTCTAAAATGCGAACGTAAGTGGGTCAGCGGCTTGAGTGAAGTTCGATGGCAAATGAGCATGTACAGGGTGATTCACCATAATTGTCCTTTCTCCCTCTAGCTCACTTATTTTTGACCCGATTTAAAAATTTGAAGGATGATCTAAAATGATTTCTCAGAATTTTTTTCCCGTTGCATCAGGAAATACAGGGTGCACGGAACAAATGATCTACAGGGTACTACTCGATTTTTCCAAATCGAACACCCTGTATTTCATTGTATTTTTAGATTCTTCCTGAAGAGCTGATTTCATCAATGCATCACACTTGGGGTCTAGCGGGAATGATAATAGGGTGTTCAAAATCGAGATTTTTCAAGTTTAGGATTTTTTTGTCTCGAAACTATTCATTATTGGTCGAAACGGCTCCTATGTTTCCATCTTAATTTTTGATTAACTGTCTATTGAGATTTGATTGGAACATTTACAGGGTGGTTCACGATTCAGAATTCTGATCACCCTGTATCTGTTCCAATTATTAAATGTCAGTAGATAGTAAATCAAAAGTTGAGATATGGACATGAAAGCCGTTTTGACCGATGATGAATAGTTTCGTCTCAAAAAAATCCTAAAGTTGAAAAATCTCGATTTTGAACACCCTATATCTCTGTAATCATTCCCGATAGACCCCAAGTGTGATACATTGAGCAAATCAGCTTTTCAGGGAGAATCTAAAAATACAATGAAAAATAGGGTGTTCCATATAAAAAAATCAAATGGTACCCTGTAGATCGTTTGTTCTGAGCACCCTGTATTTTCTGATGTAGCGGAAAAAAACTCAATCAAAAATCATTCAAGATGATATTTCAAATTTTGAAATCGGTTTAAAAATAATTGAGCTAGAGGGGGGGACATTTATGGTGAATCACCCTGTACACATAACCAAAAAATTAAATTGTCCAGCAAGAACCACGAGGTTAGAGCATTCTCGCCAGGGGAAATGGGGAAAGAAAAAGGAGGTGGATAAGGGTTAGTTGGTATGAAAAAATAATAACAAGAAAGTCGAAAAAATAAAATGAAAGAAAATAAAAATAAAATAACTCGTGAACAAAAAATATTTATATTCTGTTGAAAACGTAATGTAAACTCAAAAAAATCAACATAACCGACAACCACTCACCTAACGCGAGAAGCACAACAATGACTAATCGCCAATCGGTCTACGCCGTTCCTGTAACAAGCCACCCCACTGACCCCACTCCTTTGTAGTCGGCTGGCCGAGCCCGCGTGCAGGGTGCAGCCGTAGGTATAATGTTTCCCGCGATGCGATGGATGCATAAATATTATTTAGGTAGTTTATAACCGCTACATGCGTCTTTGAAAATAAATGATATTCTGGAAGTTATACATTTATTACATTTTCGTCACCAGAGCTTTTTTACGATGTTTCAATGCCTACTCAGCTCTTGGACTGCTGACATTTTTCTTGCCATATTATACCTACATAGGCAGAGGCACAGTAGGTTACATTACAGCAATATTCAAATTGAATTATAACTTATTGACGCTCAGAAGCACTGAAGGAAAATTCTGATACCAATATTAGATGGATATGTTGAATTATGAATTACTGAAAAATTGCAAATTCAAAAATCACCAGTCATTTTTACTGCAACTACTGCAAGCGTAAACAAAAACATGGAAATTATTTTTCTTTTCAGTTTGTACATTTCAAATTCCAACATCAACTTACAAATAAGTATAGGAATTAAAATTATAAATACCTACAATGTAAAATGAAAATAGAATGTCAATCATGCCAATCCGTATATTAAAAATTAGGTCGGAATGGTTCGATACGGTGCACAGCATAGACAAACCAAAAATGTTTCTCTATGGTGCACAGCGAACCCACTGCAAACAACTGATACTGATAAGTACGATCGATACGTTGGACGGCCAGCAGAGCTTGGCCGCACCCAAGGTATGACGCGTATAAGCGAAAATTTAAACTTGAAGCGGGGAATCTGTAGGCGATGCCTGTGGCGATGCGTCGAGACATGAAATCACCGATCGGCCGGCCGTCTGCATCAGTGTAATGAGCTACGCGAGCGTTTCGACTGAAAGCGGCGTTTTGACGATGGGATTACCAGATGTCGTAGGTCCTGAATTAGTTCGTGATTTTCGGTGTATATGCGGATGGAATACTCAAAGGTTCCATGAATGAAATTCAAATAATAGTGGCATAACAGTAGGATAATGAGCGATGAATTGTGAAAACAGTTTCGGAAAATAATTTTATTCATCAAATAGTTCAGTAATTTTCCCCAAATTATTTGGTACGGCCCGGCCGACCCTGCCGTCCCTGACGAGCCGTCACTGAATTCAACAATTGCTGATTAGAAGCATCTAGAGGCAGGACCCAGAAGAGACAGGGCGGAATAAATAATCCGTGTGGAAACATCTTGATCTTGACATATGTGTCACGAGTGTCATGATTTCGGCATAATCAAGATTATGTTCCAAATAAAAATTTTACAAATTGAGAGTATTAGTCCTTACCTGATCTGGTGAAATTGGTACCGCAAGGAGCCAGAAAACCAAGAAACATAAAAGAAGAAGAAGAAGAGAGTATTAGTAATTTATTGAGCAGGTGTTTGTAGCAACAAAGATAAAGTATTTGTAGCTTGAAAGAAATCAATACGTATTATGAATTTTAGTAGGTCTCGATATTATTGTGAACCTTTATTTATGCTGCTGTTATATCATGTAATGCCTTTTATTCATTCATAAAAAATGTTCAACTGATAATGTCCTACGGCATAATAATATTCACACATATTCAACAAGAAACAGTGATAAGATTTGAATACCTTACTGCAGAAATAAAAAACCCAAGA